AAGGACAGATTGGCAAAACCAACAGTGACTCTAAGTACTACAGTCTGTTGTATATTATTGGTCGTAGACGTCGTGACGAAGGTTCGGGTCTGGCTCCCGAAAAGCTAAAATTTATAAGAATGTACAAAAAAGGAAATGAGATGCAGGAACTGCCGCCTTCTTGCCATCCAGCGGAGGGTGTGGGTGCGTATGGGTGTATCATAAGCTGCAAGGTGTAGCCGCCGTATCCCGTCTCATGAAGAAAAGAAAAGAAAAGTCAACGCCGGCAGGACGGCGTTAGAAAGCCTCAAACCATGTTTGATGGGTCTCTCGTCCCGTCCGTCTGCTGCTGCAACACACGTCAACACCTTCGCTCTCTGGCACACCGAAAAGAAGCTTCGCTGCCGGGATCAGCCCCCAAAAGTGCCGACGGACGGGTTTTTGGCGTGGCCTTTCGTCGCCGTGGCGCCGGTAAGGTTTCTCGTAGACGCCGCAAAGCTCTGGCGGTCGTAGGAGCTGTAACGGCCGGCCTCGAGGTCATCAATGCTCTGCCGGTAGTTGCTATCCGAATCATCGAGGTTTTGGCTGTGACGATCCGAGTCGTGAGCATACTCGGTGCTCAAGCGGTGTACGCTGTGAGGCTCCGACGTACTCCTCGTGTGAAGGACTTTTGGTCTGCTGAAGTTGTGTATTGTTGGAGCCGGGGCTGTTGGGGTGACTTGGTTCAGCGCGCGGTCTCTCCTGTCCGCGGGACTGAGGCTGGCTTCATCCAGCTGAATTTTGATGGTGTATACGGAATTCTTCTTGACGGCCGGCAATGGCTTATTCAATGTCGCTTCGCTGAAGCGCTTGACCGTCGTGGTTGGCGTTGATGTTTGGGAACCCATGGGTATGGCGTCCTCCAGATCCGAGTCGAAGGATAGCTGGCTGCCCGCTTGGGAGCCCTTTGTTGCTTTGTCGGTAGGTAATGGTACGCTGGTAGGTTGTGACTTGCGAGACCTTGAGGCCAGCAATCTGGGAAGGTATCGGTTGAAGAACGGCTTGGTTGACGGGATGCTGGTGCAGATGATCCCAAGGAATAGCTCGAGTGATGACATGAGCCAGTTCATCCAGGCGTTCCAGGTAACATCCGGTTCCGTGGTCATGATCCACGTAAAGTAAGTGCGAGCTATGCCGGCGAAGCACGCCAGGAAACCGGCACCGAAAAGCAGGTTGACAATAACCATCTGCCTAGAAGAGAGTTTGTTCTTATAGACAATACGAACTAGAGTCAGTGGTAACAGGACCACGGCGAAGTCGGTCGCGGTATTGATGATGCTGGCAACGAGGAGGTGCGCTGCCTCGTTAATACAATTCTGAGGCTCAGCTGAGAGCGTCCAATATTGAGAAAGAGGCCTACAGAGAGTCAGTCTTGTTGGCTGTGGAAAATTCAAAGCCTACATACCGGCATTGCAGCATGGCCACCATCATAAACACAACGCAGTTGATGGAGATAAATACCCCCAGGCCGATGACCAGGAGACTGAACTTGCGAGAGGCTTCGTGGGCGATTCGGTACACTAATGCCAGCATCGACAGCTTCGTAAAACTTGTAGTCAAGTCGAAGAGGATCTGGCTAGCGAGTCCCATCTGCAAAGACCCCGTGAATTTGTCGATGGGCACATCCCATACGTGGCGTCCCCAGCCATATCGATCCATAGATATCATCCCTACGACAACGAACGCTGCTGCGGGAATGTAGGCGAGGATGACGAGCATGTCGTCCCAGCCGAATCCGTTCGTGATACATTTTCGCGTATATGTCCGGATGGCGATGATAACAGTAGCGATGGCGAGGAGGATGAGGGAGACGATCTGGTTGGCCGGGCCTCTGGTTTCGGGGTCATCGTAACGTGGTGGCGGCCAACTGAGTATTACTTCTGGCGGCGGGATCCTCATATCGTCGATGTCGTGAACATCGTGTGGGCAGCAGACAAGGGATCAACGATACCGAAAACGAAGCAAAGACGTGGAAAGGAGAGCGTCCTTATTCTTCCCCTCACTGCGGCAACTGTGGCCCGAAGACACGCGGGGACGAATGAGAGACGGGACGAGAGGGCTGGGCAAATTCAATGGGAAGGGCAAAAAACAGCCTTCAGCGTTGGTGACCGTGCCTAAGCTTAATCAACAGACGGACGCAGTGAGAAAGCATATCCACGGCTGTGACATCAACATGATGATGCGCGCTCTGGCCAATATATCTTTTCAACCCTGGACCGTTAGACCGCCCAACCCTGAAAATCGCTGCAGGGAATCGCAGAAAAACGTTGCCGTTTGGCGAGACATTCTCAAGACCGCACTGACGGCTTGAACTGGGGTTCTCATGAGGAACCGGTGGTGTTGTATCGTGTTGTCTCTCTCAGACCATTGGATATCCTTGGGGGCGGTGCTGTAAAGGGAGCAACGGATGCAACTCCGTGGATCCAGCGGCACCTTGGCCGGTTGCAAGTCTGTGTGAGAAAAGCTGGGTAGGCAAAGCAGACTTTGGCGCCTTGCTTCTTTGCGTAAGTCATAGTCTGTCACAGCGTCGCATGTCTTCTCAGCGCCGTTCATGGTGAGGGCGAGAACAGTGAGCCCCCAGCCCTACCGTTGATCTTGCGGCTAGGTCCGCTTGGCCTTAGAGGAGGCTCAACGCCCGACTAGCGTGTTGCGAGTCTGGAGGCCGAGCTAGGGTTGAACAACCGGGATGGAAATGCCGCTGACATGGCGTGAGCTGGACGCAGCTACCGGTAGACAGCTGCCAGAGCAGCTAGGCCTGCATGTGGACGGTGTCAAAACTTGATCCATGATGGCCAACATCATGCGCAATAGCCAAGATCGTGATAAGGAAGGCCAGGAAGAAAGGCGTTGGCATCGTGGTATTGTGGTTGAGCAACGACGTCTCCCGCCGAGTGAAAACAGGTTGCTCCCACCACAAACCGCCTGCAAGGCCCCTCATCCAGACCCTGTCGCAGTGGTGGTGGCACTGCAGATTGTGATGGTGGTCGTCGAAGCCAGGGGCGGTGTGGTGTGTTGCACCTAGACTTCAACGTGGAGGAGACATGTCTTTGCTGGTCGATGATCAAGAAACGTTTGTGCCTGGGGAGTAAGATTGGCCAGTCGTTTTCGAAGCCGTGCCGTCTTCAGGATTCTCCACCTTCACTGGCGCTCTTCCCGGAGAATTGTTTGAAGCTTGGCAGGACGCACGGGTTTTGGGTTCGTCGACGCGCATTGACGGCCGAGCGAGGGGATTGTCAAACCGAACGCGTCTGAGGATGCTGTGAACACGATAGGCCCATTCGATTTTTCGACCGTTTGGCTTCGACACCCTGGATAGCCGGCCAGCAAGTCCATGACCGGACCATTGCAGCCGTTGGTTTGTCGAAAAGTGCCCCGCGAAACGGCAGCCCTCGGGGCTGAGCCTGTCAGGTCGCGGTCCCTATCACATCGGATCTCGACTCTTCCATGAAGAAGTGGTGTTTGAATGTTACCTTATCTGACGAACGACAGAAACCAGGGTAGCCATGGTTGCAATGCTAAAGAAGTGCGCATACGGCCCTGCTTGGCAGCGGGTACTACAGGATGGCACATGGTGACGTGAAGTAGCGTATGTTGACGGAGGATTTGATAAGTCGTTGCAAGAATGTTGTCGAAGAGATGCGGTTGGCTTCACAGCGGGTGCCCATCCCCACTTCGCCTACTTCTCCTACCCCTTAGTCATCAACGGGACGACGCTTCCCGTCAGCCCCTGGAGTGCTTTGATGTTAGTGTTTCTTTCCTCTTAGGGAGTTCATTTCACGAGAAGGCGTTCGTCTGTCCAGGGAGCCACGAGAGTGAGTCAAGAAGGCGCAATCGCGTTGTGTGACCCTGGAACTAGGTAGTCGACACCCACTCTTCCGCGGCCAAGTCTCTAGCATGGGGTAGAGCAGGCCTCATCGATCTCGACCTTGTGGTTTGCCATCATGCCCAATTCTTTAGTGACCGCCTTGGCTAAGAGACTGTTTCTCGACTGTTTCCGAGTCCACCTCGACGAGAAGCCGTTTCAATCGACACCCCGCGAACTGGGGTTCTCCACCATTCGCGAATGAGTTCTGTTGCTCGCAGCTTGGACCCAATGTATCTGTCATTTTTGTCGACGACACTACGGAATAATCAACGTCTCCCGGGCGCCAACCTCCAACCTCCCTCGCCTATTCGAACTGTCAAAAAGCCATGAACGCCAAGAACCGAACCCGAATACTGGATACTGAGGATGCGATTGGGCCCAGAGACTGGACTGGGGTCAACGCCACCACGTGTGTCTGGCCTCCATCGGCTGCGCCCCCAGTTACTTAAGTGACCGGCCTAATCAGGACGACACACGACATGGGTTCACTCATATCGCCCTGTATGTTCGTATGCTGGGTTTGAAAGCTATGAAGGACCCATCTTCAGTGGGATGCCGGACATCTAGAACGCCTGTTCATCGTCTTGCCCCAGGTTGCCACAAACCGTGATGTCTCGGGCAGACTCTTGATGAATAGCTCCGATAAAGGTGGATGAAACGTGTATATCACGCTTGCTGCCCGTCTCATGACGACGCCATCACATTTCAAGTACAGTAGGCTAAGATGCTGCTCACTTACACTGGCGGCCTCATGGGTAGCCAAGCACTGTCATGCTCATCTATTGTGCAAGGCCACCATCCTGACATGGCTTTGACGTCGATTATTGAGGGGCATTCGGTTCTGATTGCCATCATGGACGTGTTGTTGCTTTCTAAGACTCAAAGACAGGAGTCGGACTTCTGCCGATGCTGGTAAGGGGTTGGTGGCTCCCGTCAAGTCTGAAAGTCATCTCTTCCTTCAGCAAACTCTGAGGTGCCTAATGCGGAGAACCAGCTGTTCGCTGGCCACCAAAACTTCCTGTAAACTGCCCTGTCCAGCGGTGTCAGTCAAACGAATGAAAAAACCAGGCCGGGTTACCAGCCAGCCTCGGAGGTGACGGGTTTCTAAATAGCTGGGTCACCATTTCTGGTCCTCGACCGACTGCTGGTCATTAGTGCCCCAGACAGGACTGAATTGTTCGAATGTGTAAGGCCAAAGCTCGCGAAATACTGCTCAACTCACAAATCAGATCCAACAACACATTGTTGACATTGTATAACGCGATAACACACAATGCGCTGGTCCGAGCTGAGACTTTTCAAGCAAGACGAAGAAAAATTCGAGCTGGAACAGCAAGAATGAAGTCGGGCACGGTCTCCAGCAGGGGCTGGATTTCAATGAAAGGCTTTCTTTTTTCTGGATCCATCGGCATGGATACGAAGCTGCGCAAGTCAGCCAGAGATCTGTGTCCCCGGAGCATGGGTCCTGGACAGGATGACAGTTAGGCGGGCGATCAGTTGTGGCTTTGCTTTTTTGGACTGTTACGGTGTGAATTTTATCCCAAACCGGGGAAAGAGAAAACCTGTCCAGGTCCGCAGTCCGCCTCAGATGTTTCTTTTGGAAAGCCGGTATGCTACAGCGCGGAATGAGTGTAGTGACAGGTAGACGAAGATCTGAGTGAATGCACACGAGCAGCAGAGCCATCGAGTGGGTATGACAGGCCCGGCGTTTCCTCTCTGGCTTCTCCGTAGTTGTCGCGGGTCCCAGATTTTCAACCTGTCGATGAGTTTTGTTTTGTTCGCTCGGCATTAGAGCAGCTGTCTCTTTGTATAGGTACACATAAAAGTGCTGGCGAATGGTTGCCGAGGTATGGTAATGCGAACTGCAGAGTAGCCGTGTATTCGGGAGAAACAGGATCATGCAGAACCAACCCGAGGTCTTTACCTCACTGAAATACGACAATGTCCGCGTTCTGGCGACTGTGCATGAGAAGCAAGACGTGTCTCCTCATCACGGAGTCTGACAACAACGATGCTGCGGATATCTGAAGCCTGACTCTGATGTTGATCGATTCCACGACGATGGCCAGGTCTCAAGGCGATCACTCAGACGAGTCACCCAGTGTCTCGATGGAAGACACGGACTAGCCAAACCTGACCATGCGCTCCCCGATGAGGTAGCTGTCGTTGACATGAGCAACAAGACTTCCGATTGGATTATTGGAACCGTAGCTTGGCGTCCAGGGTGAAGGGAAATGGACCGGACCGACTGGTCACGAAAAGTGTTGAGGGGCGCTGGTGTTGTTGGAGGACAGTCTCAGCCCACGGCGACCGGCCGCTCAGGTCACCCAGTGAGAAAGTGAGGTTGAGTGCGGGGCGGGTGCAGGCCCCGGGCCAGATCGGAGCCGCTGGAAGCCCCACCGGAACTGCTGATTCTGGTGCTGCAGGCGCTGCGAGGTGCCGTGACAGCGTGCCACTGAGGTGCCCCTCCGGTGTCCTGCACCTGCGAAAAAGCCCCCGCCCCTCCTTGCCCCTCCATCAAGCCCACCTCGCGCTGGAGCTGAGGTCTTTTTACTGTTACGACAAGCTACCTGCCAAAACCTGTCCTGCGTCATTTACACCTCCATCCGTGATCCGTCCTTTCTGAACTGTCCTTCAGACTCCCGAAGCTTCACCATTCTCCCTAGAATCATCAGATACCACCAATTGCCCAATATGGCTCGCAAGTTCTTCGTCGGCGGCAACTTCAAGATGTAAGTCTCTTCGTTGACGGGGTTCATCGGACATCCTGCAGCAACCCCCCATCCCAAGGGGGAGACGGCACATGGAGGGAGGGGGGATGGAAGCTTCGGTATCAGCCAGCACCGCAACATGGGCTAATACGTCATGCTTCGCGCTCGATAGGAACGGCTCTGTGTCGTCCATCAAGAAGATTGTCGAGAACCTGAACGGCGCCACCCTCGACCCCAACACTGGTACTTGCCCACTTGCTCCAATGCAGAGCACAGAAGAAGACATTGCAGCTAACAATAAGCCCGCAGAGGTCGTCGTCTCCCCTCCCGCCATCTACCTCTCGCTCACCCGTGAGCTCCTCCGCAAGGACATTGAGGTCGCCGCCCAGAACGTCTTCGACAAGCCCGACGGCGCCTTCACTGGCGAGATCTCCGTTGCCCAGCTCAAGGATAGCAACATCAACTGGGCCATCCTTGGCCACTCTGAGCGCCGTACCATCCTGAAGGAGTCTGACGAGGTTGTTGCCTCCAAGACCAAGTACGCCACCGAGAACGGCGTTGGTGCCATCTGGTGCTGTGGTGAGTCCCTCGAGGAGCGCGAGGCTGGCACCACCGTCGACGTCGTCAGCAAGCAGCTTGCTGCCCTCAACGCCGCCATCAAGGACTGGTCCAAGGTTGTCGTCGCCTACGAGCCCATCTGGGCCATTGGCACCGGCAAGGTTGCCACCACCGAGCAGGCCCAGGAGGTTCACGCCGCCATCCGCGCTTGGCTCGCCAAGAACGTCAGCGACAAGGTCGCCGAGGAGACCCGCATCCTGTACGGTGGCAGTGTCAACGAGAAGAACTGCAAGGACCTGGCCAAGGAGAAGGACATTGACGGTTTCCTGGTTGGCGGTGCCAGCTTGAAGCCTGGCTGTGAGTACTCCCTTCGCCAATGAAACTGACTCCCAGTACTGACAGGATACAGTCGTCGACATTGTCAACGCCAAGCAGTAAATCCCTAAATAGAACATACCTGATGATGATGAACGCTTGAACATGGCCGCATAATGGCTTGGGTAGCTCAGGACAAGAAGTAACGAAAAAACCAAACCTTTCGTAGTCCCTGAGGTAGTAGAGAAGAAAACAAAATTCAGTATACCCACACACGCGTCTGTAGTCATGCCTCATTTGTGAGCGTTGAGAAATCTGCATTTCGAGTGCTTTCAGGGGGCACTCGTTCCCCATCCCGTTCGGGTGATATTTTACAAGCAACAAACATGTCATGCTGCCTTTTCCTCCTATGCACGCCTGGCCCCGATCATAGTTTTACATGCTTTCCAAAGAGATGTCGTAAATGTTTTCGTAGGTATTTATACAGCCATGCCGTTGCCATGGTACGGTGACCATATACCTCTAACACTGGCGTTGATACTGGTGACAGGCTTGCTCGTCCTCTTGAGCTTCTCTCCGCTGGCGTCACGCAGCAGTTCGGCCTTCTTCAAGATCTCCAAGGGCTCCATGTTTCGCACACAAACGGCCTTCTCGCGGCCGTTGATGTAGTGGCCGACAATCATAGGGTGCTTCGCGGGACGGGGCGACACGGTGAACTCGATCTGGGGGTGGGCCTTGGCGAATTTGGGTAGCTGAGACTTGATAAATCCGCTGGAAGAGAGTATCAGTATGCATATAAGACGTCCAGAGCCTAGAGATTGCCTACTTCATGCCCTTGGAGCTACCAGCCCAGTCGCAGTAGTGGAAGTCCAACTTCTTGCATTGGAGGATGAATGAGCCAAGGCCATTCTGCCGAGTTGTCAGTCATTCCAGCAGATCGCTAACAGGCGGAAAGTCCATACCTGGCCCTTGGATACCGTCTTCAATGCCTGGATCGTCATGGTATCCTGTCTGGCATACAGAATCCAATTGCGTGGTCGAGTCGTCGCAAAGAACCTCGTCCGTCTACCACGGGCGGGAAATTTCTTAGCGCAAAAACGCAGATGATCCGAGCCAGACAGCTGGACCGGAGCTGCAGTACGTACCGCATCTTCCGGACCCATCTTGTATTGTTTGAACAGCTACCATTGGCTGGCACAACTGGGGTGGTCTGGACAGAGCCAAGCTGCACCACAAACTTATGCGTTCTCGTGTCAATTTCAAGTACGGACGCGACGCTCATCCTTCAACCCCATTCCCACCACGTCCCATTACGACATCCCTAGCTGCACGCCATCGCGCGCATCTCAGTGGAGCTAGAGGATATCTTCGATCTTGGGATACTGACGGAAAGGGTCTTTCGCGATGACCGACAAGCTTCCTCCCAACCTCTTGGCGCTATTCGCGCCGCGCCCGCCCCTGCGATGGGTGCCGCCTCCCGACCATGCGCCCGAAAAGCGCAAGACCCTGCCCGTCTCTGGTGTCGCCGAGTTCCTGCCCGCACTTCAAGCCTACAAGGAGACCGACGAATACAAACCGACAGAGAGCTGGTTGCAGATGCGCGACCGCAAGAAGCTTGAGAAGCAAGCTGCAGTCGAGAAGCTCAAGACGGAAGGGCCGAAGAATTGTCAGTACTCTACATATTGCTTTTGTAGGAGAAATATGCTAATGTTACTGTTGTACAGTCAAACCCCACGAGGACTCCAACATTCGCGGCGATGCTTTCAAGACTTTGATTGTTGCGCGACTCTCTTACGAGGCCAACGAGCAGGATCTCGAGAGGGAGTTTGGCCGTTTCGGCCCCATTGAGCGCGTACGATCTTCTGTTCCCCATCATAGATGGCCTTATCAAGCTGACAATCAGATAGATCCGTATCATCACTGACACTCATGCTCATGAGAAACCCAGAAAGAAGAAGAAGCCCCATCGTGGCTACGCTTTCGTTGTTTTTGAACGAGAGAAAGATATGAGAGGTAATGACGCCGAACCCCCTTGACGATGCTCGGCCTATCCGACATTCATCTCCCTCCCGGCTTGTGGCCCTCAGGCTTGCCCTTGCCCAGCTTTACACACCGAGATCCGTGGTCCTCAAGCTTGCCCGTCTCACAATCTTGTTTTTATTTCTTCTCATTCCACTCCATGACGCAAAGGTATGATATTGGTAAGGGTTTACTGACACAAGCGCCTTGGCGCACTGGTGAGTAGCTGCTTTAGATGCCTGCGATGGTATTCGAATCAAGGACCGGCGTATCAAGGTAGACGTCGAACGTGGGCGCACCGTCAAGGGCTGGGTACCTCGCCGACTCGGTGGCGGCCTCGGAGGCCGAGGATACACCAAAGCCCTGCCGGCTAGGCCCATGGGCGGACCTGGTGGTGGTTTCGGCGGGGGCGGCGGTTTCCGAGGAGGCTTCCGTGGCGGCTTCGAGGGAGGACGCGGTCGCGGCGGAGGCTTTAGAGGAGGCTTTGGCGGCCGTGGAGGATTCCGTGGCGGTGGCGACTTCAACCGTGGTGGTGACCGAGGTGGTCCTAACGGATACGGCGCTCCTAGGGATGCTCCTTCAGGACCCGGACGCAGCTTCGGAGGAGGCGACCGCGGCTTTTCCGGCGGTGGGTATGACCGTGGAAGCGGCCGCTCACATGACGACAGATCAGGTGGCCGCCATGGCGATCGTTACGGAGATCGCGACAGAGACCGCGGCGACCGTGACGGAGGCCGCAGGACAGGAAGCAACATGGAACCGATCAGACCCAGAGGAGAAGGTGGGTATCGTGGTGACCGAGGCGACAGAGACCGCGACCGAGACCGGGACCGTGACAGCCACAGGGACAGAGACTATGACCGACCCCGCGACGACGACAACAGGAAACGAGGCTACGACGGCGGCGGCTATGAGGATCCTAGAAAGCTACGTCGCTACTGACGAGACACGTCGTGTCTTGCGGTGGGTGACTACCCGCGCGTCTGATCTTTCAGTCTCTTTCCTTCTTCCCTTTCTTCATCGAGGGTAAGCAGGTGTCAAGCACAAACAAGTCTTCTCCATCTCCGGGTCAAAAAGGTCGCAACCAGGCGCATACAGTGCGGCCGGATTCAGGCGCTTCAGTTTCATCCTACAGGCTACCGAGTCATTCGTTCGCATCAAATTTGCTGCAGCATGCCGTCGAAGGTAATCATCTCTGCATGTACTCTACTACCAGCCGCTTCGAGCTCGAGTTAGCAACATTACTCCGAAAACGATTGGTCGACGCTGCAGGTAAGGTCAGAGATAAGGGACTCCGTGCCTAGTGACCTGGAGATTAGCGTGGAAGACATCAAATGGTTCATAAAAAAAGGATAGGTGTAGTTCCCGCATGTACCGCGTTATAATTACTTGTACGAATAGGTGAGGACCTCTCGTTTTCCAAGACAGACAGATCGTACGTAGCATTCTTCTGGCTCGTTTTGAGTACGTTCTATCCTCATAGAAAGAAAAGCGTACGAGAAAGTACTTCCTCAACTAGGAGGACATGTGAAAATGTGTGAAAGATGCCCGACGCATGACCGAAAAAAAAATGTAATCTCTAATGAACCGCCCGAACGCCGCAGTGTTGTTTTTGTTGTCCACCCCTCGCAATCCATGATGGTATCAGCCTACATGAAGAAGCAATCATCAAGTCTAGAAGCTTTTATACGTTTTGGTCATCCATTCCCAACCCTGGCCTTCCCGCCGTCAAAGGCGCTTTAGTCGCTGTCGGCCTCCATGGCGTTGGGGTTGACTTCTGTCACCTCGCCTGACGCCGCGCTCCAGTACCTGTTCGCGAAGTTAGCACAAACGAATATTCTTCCAGAAAATAATAGTTGAGTTGAAAGGGACAAGACGTACGCCATGACCTGGACCTTGAACTCGCTCAGACAGATGCTGAACAGCTTCAACAGCCTCGTCTGCCTGCTGTCCAGGGTGTCGCCCTCCTTGCACACGGTGTAGCCCTCGCCAGAGGAGCCGTCGGCGTCGCCGAGGCAGACGCGGCCCTTGATCATGCGGGTGGGCATGCCGAGGCGGCGCAGCTCGGGCTCGATGCTGTGCTCCATGGGCACGTCGTGCTCGGCGGGGACCTCGCCGCCGGTGGCGTAGACGACGCCCGGGGGAATGACGAAGTCGCGGGTGGCGACGGTGCCGGCGCGGGCAAAGTCAACGGGGGAGACGCCCTCAAAGTACTCGAGGACGGCCTTGGGGTCGCGGTTGGTGAAGAGGAGGCCGACGGTGCCGGAGAGGAAGGGGGTGAGGCGGTCGATGCCGTCCGCGACGGCGGAGGAGGGGTCTTGGCCGAGGGCCTTAGCCATGAGTTTTGTCTTGCCGAAGAAGAGTCTGGTTGTCTGGGGTCAGTCTGGAGGTTCCAATTGTACGAGGAAACGTCTCTGCTATGCGAGACGGGCGCAGCGCATTGGGTATCTGAGGAGAGAGGTAGGGAAAGGCGACGAACCTGCAGTCGGTAAGCTCGTGGCGGACCTGCTTGAGGTAGTTGTTGCGCATGTTGTCGACGGCGAAGACGAAGCAGTGCTGGTACTCGGGGACGGTTTCGCGGATGTTGGCAAAGAGCTTGTCCTTTTGCTCGCGCGTCTTCTTGCTGACCTGGGTCAGGTTCACGATTCTGTTGCGCTTCGACTTAGGCATCTTGGCGTTTGTTTCTCTCCGGATTGATTTTCAAAAGTCGGCTTGGTGGATTATGTCCGTCGATTCGAAGATACAAATTGGTTGCGTAGGTGTGAACCTCGAAAGGGAAACGGGTCGGGGCTGGGAACAAGAAGTACCTGACGACCTTTTTTTCTCGAGATTCCGACTGGGAAAGATTTCGCGCCGACCGCCTTTGGCACAAATTTCTGGAAATTTTGGCTAGGCGCAGAGGGACCACCGCAACTTTTTTTTTGGAACCCCGCAATGCGCTAGGTCCAATGATTTTTCCGCAGGGACCGGTATGGGGTCTGTGGGTCTTCACCGAACGCTCACCGAGTCCCGGCTGTCGCTTTGTGGGTCAGTTGACATGAAAGACAACGACTTTGGAGAAAAAGAGTAAGGAAAAGTCTGCAAGGGGACTCGAAACTATGGGCTCTAGCGCTGGATAAGCATGATCTCTGTGTTTCAGGTGGTATAACTGCTGTACCATTACTGGGCATATTCACTGCCATTTATTCCAGGCGCTGTTGCTCAGGCTTGATACTAACCCCCTTTTATACCAATTCATCGCCGCCGTATCTGCCTCACTTCCCACAATGTGAGAAGACTGCCATACCTTTATCTTGCCAAGGAGTAGCCCAGTAAATTATCGACTAACGCCTCGTGAAAGTCACTCATATCGTGATATTCATATACAGTGGCTCTAAAAGCCATGCAATCTACGTGTCTTCCTCCGACGTGCCCGCGCCTTGAGTGTCTACGTCTAGTATACAACAGGCCTTTCCATCACGCTGTCTACGCCAGGTACGTATAAGTGTTACCCTCGCGCTCCAGGTAGTCTTTGTCGATAAGGCTACAATAGTTAGCAAGCATAAAAGGCGCGGAAAAAGGATCCCACTCACTTCTCAATCTCCTTCTTGATCTGCGCCGCGTCAACGGCACCGCGGTTCTTGGTCATGTTGATGACTTCGGCTACCAACTCACCATGGCTCATCGTCTTCCGGCTCTTCATAATTCTGACGATGGCAGCCTGAGTCTCAAACCGTCTGTCTTGTGCAATACGCTCGTGCGTCGCCTTGTTCTCTTCCTTGGTCTCCTTGAGCTGGATCTGATTGATCTTGACTCGGATCTTGGGGTGTGAAAATACCTTGTTGATGGTGAAGGTGTCGGTCGGGTTGATGTCCTTGCCCTTGGGATGTTTGGCTAGCACGCGGACCTGGCCACAGGCAAGAGATTGTAGTGTTCGCGCTAGCTCGTCCCCTTGAAGGTTTGTGGAGCGCGCGATTTGCTCATATGCGAGGAAGCCATCCAGTCCAACCTCATTGAACAGAACGAGAACAATGGCTTGGTATGCACTGACGAGCAACTCCTTGGTACCCTTAGGGAACTTCGCCTTGACGCTGCAGTGCGCCAATGCATGCTTCCAGTGGAGAAGCCTGCCAGTATGCTTGTTCTTGTAGTATTGATCGAAACGCTCGATCTGCTTGGCAACATCGTCGGGCAGATTAACCCTTACGTCGGGGTACGTTGGCCAAGCAGCCGCGGACAGAATCATGACGGACAGGTCTATTGGAGCCTTGCCCGCGCCAGTGCCTTCTGACCACTGCTTGTATGTCTCCATTTCCTCCTTGGCCACCTCGACATCCTTGAACATTTGCTCCAAATTATGTGTGAAGTTGGTACCGCACTCTTCCCTCAGTTTCCTGAGCATGTTTCTCTCGGCATCCTGACTGGCACTCCTGCCCATGAGCAGGCGACGGGCCAGATCCTTCTTGTAGAACGCTTCGAAGGCATCTTTGCCTTCAATAAATCGAAACAGCTCTAAGGCTTGGTCCAGTTGTCGATCAAGCTCCGCATCTTCGTCTCCAGTGCTGGCTTGGCCACTCTGTTCTGCCGCAGCGCGGTCCTTGTTATCTGACAACAACGCCTTGGGCAGTGCCTTCAGACCGCCACGAAGCAGCATGTCGATATACTTCGCAATCATTTCTCCAACCTTGGACGTTCCTGATGTCCACGTCTTTTCGATTGTGCGGTCGTTCATGAATTCGCCAAAGGCATTCTTGAGCTCATTCAGGAAGTCTGAGTCGCCTCCATAGGAATCCCGAATGATCAGGCTGAGCGACCTCTTCAGCTCAAGCAACCTCCGTACCATCTCGTCGCCATGTTCCTTGTCGGCCACAATGGCAGCTCCAGTCTTCTTGATATACGCGCTCCATGGGGCCCTCAGCTTCTTCTGAATACCCGATAGTCTCAATAGCTCATAGAGCGCCTTCATAGACTCGACCTCGTTTTCGGCCAATAATTTCGAGAGACTCTCGTTGTTCAATAGCTTATCGGAGTAGTTGTTGACTAGAATACCGTGAGCGGCACCGAGTAGTTGTTTCTTTGTGCTGGAATCGAGATTGTACTCATTGCATCTGTAGTCTTCCCTCTTTAGGAGTCTTTCACATGCAAGGATGTACTCTTTCAGACTCGATGAGCTTCGTTCCTCCGCAAAGTCTTGGAAATATTCGGCTGAGCTGTCTATGAAGCGGGGTTCGAATAGCTTCGTGTAGATATTGAAGACGTGGAGCATCATGACGGATTCTTTCAGTAGGGCAGCGTCAAACCGTTCGTCACCAGTCCGGTCGTAAGAAATCAAGTCGTACATGCCCCGTAGCGCCCGCCCACCTGGTGATGGGCCGTCGGCATCTTCTCGCGACGGGAACGTCATCCTTCTAAACTGAGTAATTGTCATGTCGTTAATTGAAGTGAGGTTCTTGTTTTTCAAGACGAATGTGCGGTCAAGCCAGCTGAATGTAGATCGTATCGTCATCTAGAGGCAGCCGATGTTAGTGTTGAGTCAAGTAACCAGAGGCGGGCTAACTCACAATTTGGCCGTTCCACACTCGCCAATGCTTGAGAACGCTCCGCAGCATTTCGACGTTGGTGTTTCCACCATGAGCCTTGATAGATCGCAGCACAGTGCCAGTGAGATGCTCCTCGCATTTCCTGCGTAGTGTTTCGTAGAGCTGCAAATCATTGCTGTTACCGCGCCTACAGATGTCCTCGACCGCTCGATACAGCCTCTCCAAAGGCAACTGCGGCTTGCGCCCGTTGAAAATGTCTTGCAGAGCATCGAGTAGTTCCTGCTCTGCCCTTTTGTAGTATTGCTCCAACTGCTCGTTCTTTGCCGTCGGCCTCAGGTTCTTGATGACCAGCTTCTTCGCGCCCGTGTACGGCTTGTACGAGTTGGATTGGGTGAGGTCAATGACCTCGGGGAGCTTGCCCTTCATCTTGGTCGACATGTTGGAGTTGGGAGAATCTTCGGCACCAAACTTGAAGCGCTTCGGGCTGGGCCTGTTTGACGACAGCTGCTGATGCGGGGCGACAGAGCCAGAGCGCGAAACGTCCGAGTCCACGCGGGGTCGTCGGCGCTGTGGGCTATTCGTATCCGCGATTGATCCTGATCCGCCTGTCCTTCCCGTCGCCCGTGATGGCAAAGCTCCCTCGACTGCTGGGGGTGAATTCGACGGCATGGACCGTATGGTCCTGCAACAACTTCTGTCTAAGCTGTTGCAGACCTAGTTGCTTTTTGAGGATCGAGGATGTTTGGGTAGAGAGGGTGACCGAGTGTCCGGAATGTCTTGTCTTGCTATCGTCGGGCTTGCGGAAGCGTACGTCGTCGTGTGGTGGCGGTTTTATCGGTTCTGGTGTGGTTGGAAAGTGCGAGGATAGACGTCGTGGTCGTTGTCGCGGGAATCTAGACGCGGAGTTAAACGCGGAGCTAGGTATGCGTCCTAGCTACCATTATCAAATCACCATGCCGTCGTTCGCATCATCCATTTAAGAGACCCGGGTACGTCTCTTATCGTGCTGGCCGGGGATTAGATAAGAGTAGGCCCAGTTGCTCCACACCTACCCGGACCGCTTAATTTGATATCACTGTTAAATGCATCACCCCGCTTCGTCCAGAACTCCTTCTGCTTGTCATACCATGAAATGACAGTTCAGTCAGAGTTGAGACCGACTTAGCTCTAGATCAAGTGTCTTGTTTGAAGATTGTTAAACAAGGTCTATATTTCAATGTGACATCTTATCTATATTTTCGAGGGTTCTAGTACAGCTCTCTGCAAGGTAGACAGTGGAAGTTTCGGAAGACAGTGACGATGGAGATATAAAGTACTAATAGTGAAAATTGGTTGCAAATGTCATAATAGTGCTGTTAAACCAAGTCGTATTCAACGGCTTGACCTAGGTACAATACTTCAAGGTTGCTTATATCTGTTATCCAGCTAATAGGATGGTTTATAATAGCTACTGCGTTTTTAGGTAATGGGTAATGGGTATGGATATCTATGGGTTCATAAATGGTTTCAATGGGATCGTTAGGTTCATGAAGCTGCATATATTCTCTTCTCTGTCGTCGTTCCCGAAGGCTTTTAACAGCTTGCTGCTGACTAGCGAGGTGGATAAGCAATCTCGATGGAGGACATAGAAAGACGAGGGACGATAATGGATGTGGTAGACTACGAGGACGATAGGGACGACAGACACGCGGGACGATACATGAGTGAGTTGGGTATAAAGCCTCAGCGTATGCGACCCATTGCGAGCACAGGACTGCCGAGTTATTGATATCCGTGGTCTGGTGGTCTATGGATGAAATCTCGCCTTGCTCTTTCACCTGCTTCTTCACAGACGATAATACTTACTTACACAGGCAGACTGTATTATGCTATTTTAAGGGTATCATTCAACCAGCTCAATGCCCCATTCTACCTCGGCCCCCTTCGGCCCCCTTCGGCCCCCTTCGTCGTCTACCCTCATCGCCCCCCTGCGTCGTCCGTCGCCGTCGCCGTCACCGCCGCTGTCGCCCTCTATCTTTTACGCATATGCCGCCCAGCCTGAGTATAGGACGGCGAGGTTACTTATATCCGTGGCCTGATTTATAAGATCATTGACGGTCGCCGTGACGCTTAGCGTCTTCGACAGTTTCTTCCGCACGACCTCCAAAGCAC